ACAGGGACCCTTTTACGCGACACACACACACGCTTTTGCACACAGACCCTTTTACACACAGACACTTTTGCACACAGAACACTTTTACAAACACTTTTACACACAGACCCTTTTACACACAGACAGCTTTACACAGAAACACTTTTACACACAGACCCTTTTACACACCAATTCCTCACACAGAGACGCTTTTACACCGAGACGCTTTTACACACAGACCCTTTTACACTACACACAAACGCTTTTACACACAGACGCTTTTACACACAGACGCTTTTACACACCCTTTTACACACAGAAGCTTTTACAGACCCTTTTACACACAAATATCTTTACACAGAAACACTTTTACACACAGACGCTTTTACATACAAACATCTTCACACAGAGACGCTTTTACACACAGACCCTTTTACACACAGACCCTTTTACGCACAGACACCTTTACACACAGACGCTTTTACACACAGACCCTTTTACACACAGACCCTTTCACACACACGCCTTTTTCACACAGACCCTTTTACACACAGACGACCCTTTTACACACAAACACTTTTACACACAGACCCTTTTACACACACAACATCTCTACACAGAAACACTTTTACACACAGACGCTTTTACACACAGAGGCTTTTACATACAGACCCTTTTACACACAAACATCTTTAAACCGAAATGCTTTTACACACAGTCGTCGTCGTCGTAGTAGTAGTAGTTGTTGTTGTTGTTGCTGTTGTTGTTGTTGTTGCTGCATGTTTTTTTTACATTCATTTTTAAAGCCTCACTGTCCGAAACGAACCCAAATCAGAGCCCCCCCCACACCCCCTAGATTAGCTTCACGTCGCTTCGCTTATACCTACCATGCTACCATGACGCGGTTCTCTCATTACCTCGAGAAAGATTCAGGCCCAAGCAGGTCAGCCATTCCACGGGTCTCTTCGATTACAGTGCCACATCGTTGAACCCAAACGCAAAATTTGTCCGGGGTCCGGAGTCCTTGCTGGGCATGTACGGCGTTAGAAGATGCGACCCTTAACCGTCGAAATATCATTCAGAAAGAAAAACAAAACCAATGAAACAAAATAGGAACAAACAACACGCGGACAAAATTTCACACACAGACGCACAGACCAGTGTACATACAAACCTCGTTACACGGAATCACGGTTTCACACAAACCCTTTTATACACAAACATCTTCGCACAGAGACGCTTTTACAGACAGACGCTTTTACACACAGACCCTTTTATACACAAACACCTTTACACAAACATGCTTTTACACACAGACCCTGTTACACACAGACACTTGTACAGAGACACTTTTACACACAGGCCCTTTGACAGACAGACGCTGTTTCACACAGACCCTTTTACACACAGACCCTTTTACACACAAAAACTTTAACACACAGACGCTTTTACACACAAACATTTTTACACAAAGGCGCTTTTACACACGAGCCTTTTACACACAAACATCTCTGCACAGAAACACTTTTACACACAAACAGCTTCACACAGAGACACTTTTACACACAGACCCTTTTACACACAGACCATTTTACGCACAGACACCTTTACGCACAGACGCTTTTACATGCAGACCCGTTTACACACAGACCCTTTCACACACAGACGCCTTTACACACAAACGCTTTTTTCACACAGAGCCTTTTACACACAAACATCTTTACACAGAAATGCTTTTACTCATCACAGACCCTTTTACACACAAACACTTTTACAGACAGACCCTTTTACACACAGACACTTTTACAAACAGACCCTTTTACACACAGACCCTTTTACGCACACACACGCTTTTTCACATTGTTGTTGTTGTTGTTGCTGCATGTTTTTTTTCAGGCATTTCTAAAGCAAAAAAACGTTCATTTTAAAAGCCCAAAAATCGTCAATTCGGTGGTGTTTTCGTGTTTTTTGAAGCGTCTCGGAGCAAAAAACACCGTAAATACCGTGTTTTTTTACGCCTCGCAAGCCCAAAACCACGGTATTTACGGTGTTTTTTGCTCCTGGTAGCAAATACCACGGTATTTACAGTGTTTTGTGGCCGGCACCTAGCAAAAACAGTGGTATTTACGCAGTTTTCAGCATGTTGCAAGAAGTACATTTTTCATGCCAAAAGCCCAAAATCACTGTAAATTACAGTGTTTTCGCTTTTGACACCCAATGAAAAACGTCAGAAAACAACCAAAAGTGTGCAAACTGGAGCTTCTCTTTCAAGCTTCAAAAAACGGGGGGGGGCGGCAGCTCATTTTTGGAGCTCTCCCCAGCCAGGCTCCGGCCTCACCTTCCCAAACGGGCCCGAATCAGAACCTCCCCCCCCCACACCCCCCAGATTAGCTTCGCTTCGCTTACACCTATACTCAGCACAGGCCTTCGGCTGGCTTTCGTAATATTATAGATATTTTATGTAGATGTGTTTGCACGCCCTTCTGCTGGAAGAACTCTGCGCTCAGACGCTCTCGAGAAAAACAACTGCAACCACTTGCCCCAGCTGCACCCACCCAACCACTCACCCCCGCCTCTGTGGGTGGTGGTGTCGCGCCCACCGTCATGATCTTCAACTCTTTCTGGCTGCCAATGGCCGCGCGGTAGAAGAGCGCCAGCACGGAGGCCAAGATCATGATCCCAACCTCGGAATTCTCTGGCAAGCGACCTGTGACCTGCCCATGACCTGCCAGCCCTGAAAAAGCCCATGAAACATGTCTAAACATGATTAAACATGTAGCACTGAGCCGTTCTTCAGATTTCATGTTTCACCCAAACTTCTGAACATTTGGGTCAAAGAAAAATTGGGAGCCCAAACCTTTGAAGGCCATCAAAAAGGTAGGAATTCATGATCAACGGCTCCCAGCGGGCTCCTGGTGGATTTCTGTGACACTCCCCCCCCCTTCGTCAGCTTCCGTGATGGAACCACCATCACGGGGCAGGACTCACCAAACATGAAGACAGCTACGCTGGAAGAAGGGCAACAGCCGCATGAGTCCATGAAAAGAAAGACCATAAATACATATAACTACTCTGTAGTATTAAACCATCAGCGCAGAATCGGGAACTTGGAGTTTGTATCCACTTGCAAGCAGATTAGGAATCTGAGATGAAGCGGTTGCTTCAAAGACTATTGATCTAATCCATGATGTGTATGAGTGCTTCTTTGTCTGATTGCCAGAGATTCCAATACCCCAACATACTCAAACGTTGTGTGGCAGTGGCAACAGGTATCAACAAGATCGCTCGACCACTGCGGCATGTGCAAATAAGCAACCACACCAAATAAAAGGGCAAACACCACCATGCTGAAGATCTCGAAGAATGTCAGCAAGCCACCTGAGGCAGCTGGGACATAGAAGCCTGCTACAACTACCAGGATGGCAAGTAAGAAGCAAATCACCATGTCCACCACGTTCAGAATGGGTGCTTTCCAAGGCCAATTGTAGATTTGCACAGCCATGAACGTCATCAGAATTATCTGGCAACCCAAACATTGCACTGCAGGATAGTCCGGAGCCAATACCACGGTCAGTGCCAGCAATGGTCCTGCGAAGTGTAGGGCGAATCATGTGGTACACCGTCTGGGGTGTGTCTCGGGAGATATGCTTGCCTATGCCTGCATGCTTGCCATCAATGATGGATAGACAAGCTGCAGAAAATTGTCATGCCTATGTAGCAATGCACATTTCAGCCTTTCGGAAGAATGTACAGCTTTCCACGGTGGCTCATGACATGCTTCGCCGCTGCTGTTGGGGCTCCCTTGCCACAACATGCCGCAGGAAAACAACCCAGCCCCTGTGGCAACTTGATTATATGTGAGCTAACGACTAAGGACAAGCCATTACTTGTATTGTCTAATGAACATGGTTCCCTCCTTAGTGTTGCAATGTGTTGCATACCCTCTTACAATCAAACATGCAAGTGGACAAGGGCGCCTTGGAAGACGAGTTTTCTGTTGCGATGGTAGATTTTCCACCTTGTTTCTTCGTAGAAATGTAATATAAACCACTACAATCCCTCTTGACCACTGTCCATCCCTAACGTTGATTTTTCCACCTTGCCAATCCCAACAGCCAATAGAATCAATAACTGCTCCTCGCAAGAGCAATGGCACTCCATACCACCAGACATCGAGTCTAAAGCGCCCCAACAGAAACCTGCCACCTGCACGACACGCAGACCCGTGAATGCATCACGAACTGAATGTCATGGTGTCATGGAGGCCAAGACCAAAATCAGGAGCCCTCGGACCCTCGATGAAATCTTGGCCAAAACTGGACATGAACTTCCAAGGGGGTATTAGATGTATTAGCTCTTTGCCCACGGGGGGATGAGGCCTTGCTGCCACAACGAAAGTAACGAAAGGTTCTAGGATGTTCTATAGATTCTAGGGAACCAGGTGTTTCTTTTGAAGTTGGTTAAAGCTGGAATCTGCCTTCAACCGCTTCAACCGCTTCAACCTTGCAACAGATTTTGGCCCGCTTGATTCACCTTCTAGGATTCGCTTCTGGAGTAGCTGTTCAATGAGTTCAATGCTTCCAAACTTCTTCTGCGTAATCTTCTTTCTCCCTACTCATGGCCATCCAACGAACGACCACAAGAAATTTTATGAAATTTTACAATGTCAAAGTTGGGGCCGGAGGTGTGGGACAAAAACTGCAGCAGGTAAAACGACCAAACAATCCTTCACATCCCTTTGGGGCAGAAAAACTAGGACTACCCTCAGACCTGACGTATACGGTCGTATACAATTAAAATGACACTTACCTGAAGGGGTCAACCTGGCAATGATGTACTAGGAAAACATTGATAAACCGTCACGGAATTCCCAGGTGGTGGGAGGGGTGGGTCAACACTTGAAAAATCAGGTAGATGGGCACGTGCACCCCACCACCTGCAGCTTTCATGACTGATGATGGACAGAACCCTATCCCCAGTTATATATCACCAATGCCAATGATCACCAATGATCACCTTTTCTCAAGCAGCCCACTAATCCATCGACCAAGCACTCTGCACCAGATCGTATCTCCCTCGGGCGCTGAACTTGGGGCACATGTACGCCAGCCAGGCCGCAAAGGCCCAGAAACCACAAACACCTCAGCTGGCTGCTGGCTGGCAGTGGTGGCAGCTGGCGGATGCTCTGGCTCGGATGAACCAGGATGAAGTGGTGGCTGCTTCACAACGGTATCTATTTCTTGGGAATCGCCTTAATGCACCTTGGTGAATGCTGCAAATCTGGCCAATGCACGGGCTTTGCTTGCAAGTTCGAGATCCATACTGGCAAGACGGATGCTATTGGATGCTTGTCATCCGATCCGACGGGAATTGTTGGATACTACCCAAACATCCCAAACCCCAACAAAATCATGAATTATTCATGAACTAGTGTCATAGAGTCATACCGACTGCTGCAGGATTTTGTCCATCAACCGCATCCATTGTTGAGGGGATCGACCGTTAGGAGAATAATCTCGTCCTTGCTGGATTGTCAGCTATGGCTATCACTGGTTGCTGACTTCCTGTATTAGTGCTACGGGGACTGTTTGAGCGATCTTTGTAAGACATATTAAGAAATATGAAGGCAGAAGAAGAAGAAGAAGAAAAAGAAGAAGAAAAAGAAGAAGAAAAAGAACCAAAAGAAGAAGAAGAAGAAACAAAAGAAGAAGAAGAAGAAGAAGAAGAAGAAGAAGAAAACAAATCATCCTTCATGGGCTCCTCAATCCATGCCTGCATCTCGCTCAAGTTGCCGCCCGAGTACCCAGAACAAGCATCAAAGAACCAGCGATGACCATAGCGGTGTGCTCATCGCTGCCGCAGAAGACATTGGGATACTTGAGGTTACCTAGGTAAAATGTACCTCTCATGAAAAAGTCCACAAGAGTCTATGATGGACAAGGGCCGCAGGGTTCACACTGGTCAACACCCAAATAGACTCCCTCATCACCCTCATCACATCCAATATCTAAGTGGCCATGAAATTCCGTCCCCCCCTAGGCCGCCCAAAGCTGACTTCCCGGTCGGCCACCAGATTCGAACTTTTGGGGGCTCGAACGCTTCCAGGCGATGGGCGAGTAAATGCGCGTGATGTGAGGATGCGTAAGCATGCATGAGCCCTACATCGATCGAAGCAAGTTCAAACATATTTTCCAAGCATCTGTGCACACTGCGCAATATGTCCTAGAAAGTTGTTGAAGGTGCGACCAGCTGTCTTTGATCACTGTCAACATGTTCTCTGCCAACCAAGCGGCTTCGTTGTCCGTTGGGGTGCTTGTAGCAAATCATTGGGACCAAAGCGGTGCTGCTCATCGTCGAAAAAGCCACCTGAAAGAGATGGACCAGAGACCATCGGGTAAGGTCGATCGTTGCCATGGGCTTGGCCCCCAGTTTCCGTTGGTTGAACAAATCCAAAGCATACAAAACCATCACCAAGGCTCGTGCATGAGGAATCCCCAATGGGCTTTGTCTTAAATCAAATTACTAGGGGAAATGATGATCAGCGGATTTAAAAAAAACGCACACGCGCTGTATGAACTGGCTTTTTTGAGTCAGTCTTAAAAATTTGAGGCTTTTCCCAAAGCACAGTTTGCATACGATAAATTATGATCAAACAGTTCATTTTTGGTTCCCAATTGTGAGACACCCCAGCATCGCATGGGCAATCTTGGACAGGTGATCATACCGTACATGCTTCAAGTCTACTTGTAAAGGATTTGATCAGCGCTTATAACACCACTATGTGCAATGTTGTAAAGAGAATCGCTTGCGGAAGCGTGAGGTCAACGTACTTCAGCGGGCCCATGTGCTATGAGGAATCCAAATAGGTAAAATTCTGGCCAACGAAAACAACAATTCCAACATCTGAAGTCCAAACCAATCATTTGGATCTTTCCAAAACGGTCTTTTTGATCCCGAATCCAAATTTCTGATTTTGGGGCGCATGGGCGTGTGCACGCGAACTGGTGGGTGCACAGTGGACACACACCTCTTAAAAATCTGTCGGCACAAACGTAGATGGCCTTGTATGGGTGCAAATAGGTACATGGCCAGGTACAGGAGTGTACTGTGCGTAGCAGCGTTTTGTAGATGTAAATAGTCCATCATAGTCCTATATAGTATATGCTCAACTACTTCACAGGGGCCTTAGATGTTACCTTTCAGACCCTAAAACCGAGACCTTTTTAGGAGTTACCTGAAGGTTTCACGTGATCTTCTTATTTTATTAGAGACCTTCTGGCATTTTTGGAGGGTGAGGTCCACTCTGAAATGCTCAGATAAACAAAAAATAATGTTGCAATATCACGGGATCTTGAACCGGGTCTTGAATGGGGTAATGTTACGTATCAATTATCATGTGTAGGGTCTACTTTGCCACCTGTCAAACCTTTCAGTCAAAAGAAGCAGCAAGGAACCGATTTTTAGACATTTTAGATCATTTTAGGCCTCCCTGTCGGGAATCAATTTAGGCGTTTTAGGCTTCCATTTCGGGAACCAATTTTTAGATATTTAGGCTCCCATTTCGGGAACCTAATTTTTAGAAATTTGAGGGTTCGATTGAGGGAACTAGTTTTCACAGAAGTTATGAATTACAGTTTGTGCCATCTCTCTCCTGTATTCTGGGTGCAAGTCAGGAAATTGTTCCGTCTATTTTCACCCCAGAGCACAGGGGTCTAATTTGATTTTCTTGTGGCATGGCTGGCATTTCAGACCCTCTTAAACTTGGTCAGAAGACCCATAAAGTCCCATAATGTTTCATGGGGGTTTCCCAATCTACAAGGATCTAATTTGGTCTGCTTGTGGCATGGCTGGGAAAAATCCCCTGAATTCTCAAGGCAATATCATATCAGACCCTCCTCGTTATATGTTTTCAACTTGCGCTGAATGTCAAAATCTCATCAGACAGACGATGGTCTCTGAAAACCGCGAAGGGAGGTAGATGCCTAAACGAATATGATGAAACAAATCATTCCTAGTTAGTTACTTAAGAAAACATCTCCCTACAACATGTCCAATGGCGTGCATTAAAGTTTCTAGGCGCTGAAGGGTTCGCTCCACCCAAAGGTGAAAAAATCAAGAAGCGCGTGTTCAAATTCAAAATTGGTTCCGAAAGTTGGGCTTTGCGACTTGCAGCTAAGTGAAAAATGAAGGCGATGTCAAAGGGATTGGGGGCTCATTAAAAATCGTAAACTGTGATGAGCTGGGTGTATCTGATGCTGATGCTGGTTAAACAGCTAGGGTCCCTAGGGTCTATTCGAAATTCCGGGCCCTCATGGACCCTAGAGATCCCTGGAGTAACATGTGCAACATCAATCCAACACATAAACTGTTTTAACATGGACAACACTAGGGTCTGGAATGCTACTTGGCAGGGTCTACCTTAGGTATGCAAGTAAAAAAGACTCTGGCTACATCATGCCCGGAGGCCCCCCCCATTCAAGACCCTAAGTACTTGAGGGTATTATATTATAGTCCTATATAGTCCTATATAGTCCTATATAGGCGGTCACAGCATATGTTGGAGCGTATAAGAAAGGTGAATAAAGATACAGTTGCAGCCATACATCAAATCATTACATTACCCAACAACCAACCCATGGGATTGCAAATTCACGAATGGCCATGGTTGCATCCGAGCGAAACACAATGATTCACATGAGCTCCTGGCAGAATCATTTCGTAATCATCGCCATCGATTGGCTAAGAAATGACCTATACCCCATTCGGGCCCCATTCTCATGATCCTTGTTGTGTATGATGTTCGTTGGCCAAGCAATCCTCATGGCGATTTCGTGTCATTGATCCAACCATGGATAGAGCTTGTGAAAACCGACCCTCAAGGACAGACCATCACAGACCTTCTGAAACCCAAGCATCTTTGGGCGCTAGTTCTGGTGTGACTTGAGAGGCTTGAGAGGCGTCCCAAAATGATACATCCAAAAACATCACGCAGCATTCAACAGGTAAAACATCTTAAAACATGTCAACACATGAAAACACATGGTAGAAGTAGAATCATGTAAGATCCCAAAATGAAATCGTTCTCACAAATGAACAGCAAGCCAGTTGCTTGCGCAACTGATGAACTTCAGACCCCTTCCTCAGCTGCTTGACAGCTGGCCTGCAAGAACTGACCCATGGTGCTACGAAGCTTGATCTTGTCCCAGGCCCACTTGGGATTCACTTTGGAAATGAGGCCACAGAATTGTAGCCAAAGAAGACAAGCTGGGAAGAAAAGAACCTTGGGTGGAATCCAGCCGTCCGAACAGCAGTTCTTGAAATTCTGAACGTGGTGGATGCCGCTCCCTTCTTGCTGGTTCTTCTTGGCAGAGGTGCTTCGACATGACTTTACTCGGACACGCTTCGATTGCAACAATATTGCAACTTCTTGGCCGCTGGTTGGTGCTGTTAGATATTGTTTGGCTGCCGTTTGCTGTTGGATCTGGATGTCCAATGATGTCCATAGATTTCCTTGTCCCACTTGTTGGTTGATGAGTTAACCCTGCTTCGTGACCAATCACATGATAATAGACTACCAAACCAACCCCTGATTCCCCAAACAGTGTGTCCACACTGCGGGGGTTCGACGGTAGGAGTTAAGGCCGGGGGTTAGATCAAGGTACGCTCTCTGGGGGCTCTTGTGGGATGTCCATGTGCACTTCGGCTGCCCGAAAACATATCAGCGTCATTGCATCGCATCTGGCTGCAACCGAGCATTGTTCGGGTCCAGCAAAATGCGGTGCAATGCTACGAGCACAGGAGGAATGCACCGTACTTACATCCTCCAGATAGCTCAAACCTACCAATCCTTCCAATACAGGGGTGATTGCCTTGGCTTCAAGTTGGTCCTATTGCCTTCCGCGATTTCGGTTTTGTCGGAAAACCCTGGTTATTTTGGACACCCTAGGATTTCTGCGGGTTTTGGTTCTCAAGGATATATATATATATGTTGCGCTTCTCCGCTGTGTGACTTGCATGTCTACTGTTTCCTTATATTTCCTTACCACATTACCACTTTGTCCCCTTCCACACACTGTTTGGGGTCGCTTGCCGGTGTAATTTTTTACATTTTTTTTACACAAAGGACATCATTGAAATATTCTTGCATGCTCGTGGGTGATGTCGGATGCTGGAGGCCCCAATGCATGTTGGCTCTTTTCTTGTTTTTCCTTTCAAATCTTTGCTTTGCCAGGTGCACCCAGAGATTTTGAAGGCACTAGTCCACCCTTCAGGAAAATCTTCTGGCATTGAATCTACAGCTTCCAACAGGCAGCATGGCGTAAGCTGCTGGATGCGATCATCACGAAGACCAAGTTTTGTGAGATACGAATGGTCACAAAGTGGACGACCAAAAATTAGCACCAAGAGACAAGTCCAATGTAGCGCGTCACAGGGTTTTCGCCAGCAAGGCACGAAAAGGCAAAACCATCAATGTCGAAGGTAAAAACCTCCCAAAGCACCATGCCAGTCAGTTTCAATCATGTCCACCTCTGGTTAATAACCTCCCCACTTTGCCCTTGAATAGTCTCAAATCTCCCTACTCAACCTGTTCAGTCATGTTTGCGAATCATGTGTGGAAACCATCCACATCCATGTCACTGGCTTCCATCAGTTCTATCCCCATGACAAACCATTAGTCAACCCTGTTATGCTAGATATAACCCCAATTGCAACTGTATACAGCGGGGAGGGGCCCAGCATTGTTGTTGTGGCAGATTCTGTATTTGCACATCCTAGATACAATTCATATTTGGTCTTTCAACGGTACACAATAGGCTATGTGTAGATGCTCTATATATTAAATCAATGGTTATTTCAGGATCCAAAAATGGAGGTACTGTACCATATAAGGCCATATTTTGTGGGGATATTCCCTTACATAGGCCTTACATAGGCCTTATATATGGTAGGATATGGTAGGTACCTCCAATTCAGGTTCCTGAAACGACCATTGATTATATATAATATATTATATAATTATATATATATATAATTATTAATATGCTATATGGCTCAGGCATGCTCAGGCTGTTGCAGCAAGGGTTTACTGAAGCAACGCTTCCAGGGCAGTGATTGGGAGAATTTGTTGAGGAATGTTGAGGACCTTGATCCTCGCCCCCGGTGGGCAACGTATAAGTACGAAGTTGCTAATTACTGGATTGGTTGCAGGGGAAATCTACGGGAAACCATTGTTTCCCCGGCAAATATAGGGTTTTCCTCCAATTTTTCCCTTAAACCAATCCAGTGAAATGAGGAACTGGTAATGATAGGTCCTTATCTGAGCTAGACGAGCCATTCTCCTTGCATTGGCGATCATGGACATGCTGCTTGAATTACTACTATTCCTGATCAGCTGGCTTTTAGGCTGTTATAATTTATAATCCCTACTCAGCAATGGTGTGCATCCCTTGTTCTGGGTTAATGACCAATATATAGATATTGTCCTCAACTTGTATCTGTAGCAGAAGCGAGACATTGCTGGAGAACCACTGCGCACAGCACATGCTAAGCATATTGAGAAGGATGCACTTGCCCAAGACCCCCTGGCCACTTCACCACAGCTTCCGATGGTCATGCTTCGTTCACCAACCGATGGTCATGCTGCATTCACCAAGATCCATCTCGGGGTTACTCGACGCTGATGTTCAATTACATTCAATTACCATGTTCATGATAATCTTGAGGTGCAACCTGAGAAGAGGGGACGAAAGCCAGGGTCAAGTTTGAACGGGGACAGGAGAGTGGACAGTATGGGAGGGTGTAGAGCGGGGGGCCGGTGGGAGCAGCGGGGGAGGGACGGAGGGGCCAGCGGGGTGAGGCTGTGTTGGGTGTGGGCGTGGGGAGCCCGAGCGGAGGGAAGAAGTGTGGGAAAGGTCGGGAAGGGTGAAGAGAGCGTAGGAGGAAGTGGAACGGGGGGCTCGTTTAAAGAGCTGACGGGGCGCAAAGGAGCCCGGAAGGGGAGAGGACGTGTCGGCGGCAGGGAAGGCAAAGAAGAAGGGGAAGCGGGCGCCTGTGGAGAAAGAAGCTCCGTGGTGTGTTTGAGAAATGAAGGGAAGGTGGGTGGGTGCTCCGTACTCAACACTTTAGAGTGTACACTGGACATTATACACTTCACAGTCCACAGTCGACACTTAACACACTAGACTGTACACGCTTCACTCTAGGCCCCATACTTTAGATGTTACACTTTACACCCTTCACTCCTCACTGCACACTTGGCACGCTGTACTCCACACTTTACACTGCACACTCTACACTTGACACGCTACACTTGACACTCTAGACGCTACACTCCACACTCTACACTTGCCACTGTACACCCTTCACTTCACATTTTGCCCTCTGCGCGTTACACTCTACATTGTACACTTGACACACTTTACGCCCTACACGCCACACACTGTACACTTTACACACTGCACTTTACACTCTACACTTTACACTCCACACTCGACGCTCTACACTGTACACACGAGACTTTACACTCGGCACTCTTCACTCTACACTCCATACCGTACACGTTGCACTTTACATTTTATATTCCTGTCCTACCGCCGGGCATCAGCACCCATCTGCAACTTGCACCCTGCGGGCTCCTTTCCTTTACTTCTCAGCAGCTACCTAAAAGAGTATCACTCCAAATGGCCTCCCCAAGCCACGCCCTTTCTTCCTTCCAATCGAACCATATGCACCGCCACACTCCACACCGCACACTCTACACTTTACACACTCCACTTTACACTTTACACTCTTCCCTCTACACACCATACTTTATACGTTACACGTTACACTCCTCACTCCTTACTGCGCACTTGACACTCCACACTCCATACTTTACACTCCACACTCTACGCTTCACACTCTACACTTTACACTATACGCTTTACACACTACACTCTACACTCTACACTTACACTCCACACTCTACACTTTAAACTTTACACTTGACACTCTACACTCCCACACCTTACAGCCTTCACCCTGCGGGCTCCTTTGCTTCCCAACAGCTACCTAAAAGAGCCTCACTCCACATTGCCTGCCCACGCCCCAAAGAGCCCGCCCAAGCCACCCCTTGTCCTCCAACTTTCCACCCATCGCACACCCCGCCCCAAAACTCCAATCCGTCCCCTTTGTTTTTTCCTTCCATTCCCTCTCTTCTTCCATTACTCTTTCCACGTTTTTCCATTGTTCTGTTATGCTTTGGCTCCATTTTTGCATCCTTTTACCCTCCATTCCACTCACCCCAAATGCACGTCGGAGGACGGACCAGGGGGGAATCGAACCCCACCGTCACCCAATTGCCACCTGGTACATGAGCCGCAAAATCGACCACGGTGGCCACCCTAATTAGGTGGGGAAAAGCCTCAAAAGTGTCCGTTTGGAGACGACCGCCCCCCAGACCCCCTATTCTCACTTCGTTCGCAATGATCAACTTCGCCATGCTTGACAGCTGGCTTTCGTAATATGGTGCAATCTTGATGGTTCAAATCATTGATGTGATCTTTCCCCATGTGGCCATTACCTCGACCGGCAATTACTGGGTTCCAAGATGCATGCCTGCAACCACTTGAAGATGCCATTGATGTTCACTGGCCATTCCACCGTGACTGTTCCAACAATCCCCAAGCTCTGAAGCATGTTGATCATCATACCGATCGCGCATGTCGTACTGACCAAAGTGGAAGCCTTTGCCGTCATGGGCGCGTTCATGAAGTAATACACCAGCACCAGGCCTGCACTAAGCAGCTGCTACACAGCATGCTACACATTGGCTGATAGATCGTTGCTGCCGTGGCAAACAAAAGCCGACAGATGCCGACAGAATGCTTGGTAGTCACGGCCATAGTTTCTCATATGTTGGCTTGCTATTCCCTCCTTACAACAACCTCATTCTGTTGTGTTCTATGCAGAAACCAAATTTGAGGTTCCTTTCCGAAATCGCATCGCAGCGCCTACGAAGACCAGAATCAGGGACAAGATCCAGCCAATCACAGACCACGCACTGCACTCTGTGCATTTCGAACTACCCCAATAGGTGTTAGGAGGGCATTCGCCACAGGGAACTCCTTTGCGGCCTCCACCGCAAGTGTTGGGTTCCCCACCTGTCACACTGTGAACTAACTTGGAATCAACAATGACAGCCGATGACAGCCACAGCTTTGAGCTGCTCTCAACGGATTTCGTCGCCTGGGCATTGGACTGTGCTTTGGCACTTGAACATCCCAATCGGCTCCGACTCAAGGCTGAAGTATCCTGATCTCACTAGCCATGCACAGAAATATTAGAAATTCAAACGTCCAGGGTTTCATAGCAGAAATTTCGAACATATTCGAACATGGGATATGGAAGGCTTATTGATTTGGAGGGACACAACCCTACTAGTTGGCAACCAACGGGTAAAGCAAAAAAAAAAAATCGGAAAAAAACTCATTCCGTCAGGCACACATGTACGACATGAACTGCAACTGTGATGGAATCTCACATTCCCTTTTTGCACAAACAACGACGATCAGTAAAATACGGTTGTTAGAACAAAACAGTACAGCTGGTTTGTCTCCACTACATTCAAGTTATCCCTGGTGAAGACGCCTAAATTCTCTTAAATTCATATCAACACTGCGAATCGCACACTGTCATAAAGAAAATCCGATCATTTCAACCGCCAAAATTCCATGGTCATGAGTTTAGGGGGTATCGCTCCTCAAGGTTCCCTATCGCTTCACACAGTGGCAGCTCACTTTTGGCCAAAAACAATATGTGTTCATACAGAAATATCTATATGTATATTAATTGTTTTTATTATAATACATAAATTCACCATATATAAAAGAGAGTATATACCTATATATATATATATACCTATATATATATTATATTTATATTTATATATGTATAAATATACATCTACATACATCTCAAAGTGCCATATGAACTTCGTACCACTCGCACACTTGCGTCTCTCTTTCTCACAGCTCTGCCAATGTTAAGTCAGTTTCACCTGCAATCCTCAGGTTTGCTTTGGGTAGTCACTGTGTGACACGTACATAGCCTCAGACCAGTTTCACCACTGGTCAGCTACCTGGATCCTCCAGGTTGGAACCTGCTCTTGCAGGTATCACCCGTCCCTTGACTCAAGGGAGGAAAAGACTCTCTTGGTCACCCCAAGAGAGTATCCCCAACAGAGGCTATGCACTCGCCTGCCATGCAGGCCCCCTAACCTAGGCGGACATCTCCACGGGAGGTCGGATCTTAGGGTTGGGTGGGTGGGGAAAGAAAAAGCAATGAATGCTATTTTGGTTCAACTCCAGCCAAAATGATAGCATTCATTGAATCACTTAAAGATGATACATGCACACCCAAGCCTGCCAAACCCAATGCATGGGTACATCTCAAAGTGCCATATGAACTTCGTACCACTCGCACGCTTGCGTCTCTCTTTCTCACAGCTCTGCCAATGTTAAGTCAGTTTCACCTGCAATCCTCAGGTTTGCTTTGGGTAGTCACTGTGTGACACGTACATAGCCTCAGACCAGTTTCACCACCGGTCAGCTACCTGGATCCTCCAGGTTGGAACCTGCTCTTGCAGGTATCACCCAATGCACTAAATTCCCCAAAAGCACTAAAGGAATTCAAAGGTGAGGATGACTGCGACGAAAGGCAGCTGGAAAAAGATGGTAGGGAGGTACGACGAATGAAATTCAAATCCATGGCAGCGCCACCAAGGATCATCGACACCCAGTCGACTGATGTCATCGGCCCAGTTACTTTTGCTCTGGACGTACTCCCAGTAACCCTGGGCTCGCAGTGCAAACAGGGCTAAGTGGATCAAATGACCTAGCTTTGCTAAGTCTGCATTGCTGGAACGTCCTCACTAGCGTCATAACGGCGGCTAGAGCACCATAGAAAGCTCCAGCTGGGCAATATGGGTCTCTGCAGGTTGCCATAGGCTTTGGAGCTCTGCGCAATTGGTTGCGACAAAACTGTGACGGATTTGTGACCCGTTAGGTTGGAAAAATATGAGGTGGAAACCACCTGATCCTGGATTGTCCGCTTCAACTGCTGCATCTGATGCTGCCAGAAAGCGAAGGTGCTCCAGGCGAAGAACGGGGAATTCCCGTTTGGGCTGAAAGCGCATCACAGCAGCTTCGATCACCTCGAAGCAAGATTCAATCTCCGGGGTCATGGCCGTGGTGTTCTCGTCTTGCCGTGCCTTGATGGCCATAAGGCCTCCATATCCCACACGGCCATAGATACCTTGTTCCAAGAAGTTGGCCAGACCGTACAGCTTCGAGGCTGTGCCTCGGCTGAAGTGGCCAGTTCCTCTTGCTGTGGCCAAGATGTCACGAACTTTGTCGTGGAGTCTGTCTCGTGCCCAAAAACGAACATGACCTGTTTTGTTGATGCTGCTGAGGTCATGGGTCAATCCCAAGAAGGTGCCTGTACTCTGCATGGTCTGCAGCTTCTTGTCTTCAGCGAAGGGGGATCCAATCATCAGACATAGCTGGTTCATCGCACATTGGCCTGAGCCTTTGGCTGAACGTACATCTGTGATGGTGGCGTCATCGAAGTACAGTGATGTCAAAACTTGGCAAAATCGCCGGGTCAACGCCTCCAACAGTCGGGAAAATCTGTTGAAGGAAGTGACTGCCAGCGGAAGCCCAACCAAAAAGGAGACCATAGACTTGGTATGCTGGGGTCTGCCATTCGTGATGGAACCATACCACTACGCAGCCTAAGCTCTCTTGCTGTGACATAGGGCAGTACCTGTAGGCTGAGGGTAGGTCTTCTTGGCCTGTCTCCCAGGCGTCATGCAAGCAAAACTCGGCGACGTCCTCCTCCGACCATCGTTGCATCACTAAGCTGATGTGTTGCGCTGGTCGCACGGGACTGCGCAATGTAAGCTTGTTGGCGTCAGATGACAGGGCCGACTGTCCGCCGGTGTCGCCGTTGTCGATGACTCTCTGTTTCCCTGAGCTTTGAGTGATGACACACCTGGGAATCAAACGATGTGCCTTGTTGCCAATGAGCTTGAGGAACTCTGCTCGCCGCAGAGGTGGGGTGCAAAAGCCGTTCCTGGAGTCCTCCATCGACTGTTGCAACAGGAATGCATCATCTTTGCTGGCCTTCAGCTGGTTCAAGATGTGTTGATTATGTTCCTGCCATACCTCTAGCACGTCTGCCATGCTGATCACCTCAGCTGGTTGTTGAGGAAAGATGCCATACGCTGGTGCGTATCCCACCGCTGGCAACCCTCGGATCAGTCCGTAAGATAAACTGGTGTCGGCCCAAGAAGTGAGGATCATCTTAAGGCGATGAAGCCTATGTCACGTTGCCTCGTCACTTGGCGCACTGCTGGCTCCTGAAAAGAGCGCAAATGAAGGGTCACCCCCTCCCAGCGCCTCTTCAGTTCACGCAGCGCGCCGACAGCCTGTTGCCTCCAAGCGCGCAGTGACGTGCGTGGAGCAGCATATGCATCAGCCACGTACTCCAGGTCAAGGTCTGGTAAATCTTCATAAGGCAATGGTTGCTGCGCTCTCTGCAATGCTCGCCCGAAATGGGCGTCTGGGTCCAAGTTGAAGGGCAGCAGTGGTGGTAATGCCGCTCGATGTGTCATGGCTCCGACTTGGCAATGTGCTGCTCCACTTGCCATCTGTACCCCTGCTGGCTGGGTCACCATCAGGTGTTGTGGCATCGAAGTAGAGCCCGATCAAAAAGTCGGCCTCGCACAGCTGGTTCATGGGGCAGTCACAGAGTAGTTGCAGCCCTGCCAGCTCTGGTAGCGCTTTGGTAGTGGAAAGGCGGTGGTGGAAGCTGCCTCGTCCCACATAGATTGCTTGTTCTCGATCATGACGTCCGTTGCAAGCTTTCGGACTGGTAACCCCGCGTCTTTCAGCTCGCAAGGATTCCGTCAAGCCGAGAGTCACTGCGAGCGGCGCCATCGCCCATTCCCTCATGGCGCGAGGGTCCATGTCAAGCCAATGCTCCCGGCGCCCCACAGAGAGAAAAGTTGGCATTCTCGGCACTTGCAACTTAGCTAAGCCCTTTCGAACTGCCCACCAACTGGCTGACACTGCAATTGCGAAGGTCAGAACTGCTGTGTATTCGGCCTCCTCCTTGGATGGGTAGACTCGCCGACCATCACACGTATAGGGCGTCCACTCTTGCGGATCATGTACGTGGTGGCAGTTTGCTGAGGGCCATCGCTGGATCTCCTCCACGTTGTGCCGAAGTACTTGATGCTTGCAACGAGCGCCACCCAACGTGCAGGCTGCGTATGCCGTGTCCATGTCCTGACTCCCACATCGCTACTTCAGTTGAAGTCCACCAATGGAGGGAACGGGCTGGGTTCTCACGAACACTCCCTCCCCACGGTCTCGCAACTCGCAACTTCTGGATCTCTGTGAGCACATAGTTGCAAGCCTTGTTGTCGATGTCGACTCGCTGGGCGTCACGCCCCGACAGATGGGGAGTCCATCAGGGTACACCTCTGATCGGAGTGGTCCTGGTGCCGGGCGTCCATCCTCGAATCGCCTTGGAATCTCCCGTGCCCTGCTTTGTCGAGCAATCGATGGCAGCAGCAATGAAGATCACCTCTTCCAGCTGGCTGCTGAGGGATTGTTGCCGTCTCTCATCGGCTAGATCGTGGCTCGGGTCCAGGAGCCAATCCACCGTCAGGCAGCGCCAGCCACAGCTGATGAAGGCTTTGGTAAGGGGGGCGTTGGGACCCGCCATAAGGTCGGCCATAAGAGGTCGCCCCTCTTGCGGCTCTAACCCATGGGACCCAAAAGAGGCAGCCGCCTCCTCTCTGGGGTTTGTCAACGTTTGTTGGTGCAGTTCGTGGCGCCGTGGTTGAAGGCCCCACAAACCCTGTCCTTCCGGAGGACTGCTGCACATTCGCTTTGCACCAGCCACGCTGGAACTGCGGGCACAGCTTGGTGCCATCCTTCATAGCTGTTGCCACCTGCTTGCCATTGATTGACTTGCCCAACTTCAATGGGGATGTACTTGGGGGTACCTTCGCAGGACTCACTGGTGATGCCGCTGTAGGTGCTGCAGTCTTCTTGTCAGGTGTGGCTGGTCCAGGTGCCGACCAATGCGCATCCCTGGATGTGTAGACTTCGCCAATGACCTGGCCCAGGCTCATTGTTGACTCGCGGAATCTTGGCACCCATTCACTGCGCTCTTCCACATCTTTGGTCTGAAGCCAATGCAAACGCTGAGAGATGGGCATCACCGTGACACTGCGCTTGGCT